TCATCCCCGCTCCGCTGTTCACTCCTCTGATCCTCAGCGGCCCTCCGTCCATTACCAATACCAATAATTAGCCGCTAGATAAGGGCCTTAAGGATCACATTCCGTGATCATCTTCTGAACATCTTCTGAAAAAAGAACACTTCACCGGAAGGTTAAGTTTGAAATTTTTATTTTATTCTATTTTTCTTATTTTTAATCATTTGTAGAGATTTTCACTATATGAACCATATAGAGCATTTTAGCATGCATTGAGATTGGAAAATGACAATATTGAAAAGAAAGTTGGAAATTAACAGTTAACCATAAAAATGTTTGTATTAAGGATGAAGTTTGTGTGAAAGCTGACCCCTTACTGTATGTTCATAGGTGACTATTATTAGTCCTATGAATCAGTGACCATGAAGTAGCTCTCAGCCTCAAAAATGTTGGTGACCCCTGCTCTAGATGCTTTTTTTTTTGTCCTGCCTTTGTCTCTTCCTACTCTGTCTCCCTGGCGGGTCCTTCGATGTCATGCCGGCCTCCTCTCGAAAGCCTAAAGCCCCACTACCCTACATTCAAACCTTTTTATGCCTGGTTGACTATTCCTATCTTCCTCTGTTCTGCTTCAAACTTTGCTGTTAGCCTCTAGTTTGCCCGGCCCAGCTGTTGCCTCTTCCGAGTCATCAGCCTTTTACCCCAGCAGCTCTCTTCCTGAGCTAGCAGTAACTGCCACATCTGGTGCTGCGGTTCCTTGGCTCCAAAGGGTAGCATAGCTCAGTTATAGTTCTCTCTCTTCCGATGTTCTAATAATAATTCCCTGCTCCTCATCTAATCCTTACCTCTGTTCTCCAGTTGATTTGTCCTGCTGTTTTGGGAACTCTGACCAAAACACATTTGGGGCGAGGGAAAGGAGAAAGATGTGCAAATCCAGTCAGAATAAGAAAACGCAAAAGCTAACAATAACTTCATAATAACTGGTTAATAATAATGTGGTTTTGCATTCACCATGGTAATAATATGAGTTAGTGTAACTATTATCTAAACATGAACTTCAGGAAAAAAGTCCCCGACACAAACCCCACCTTTCCACCTCACCCCTTAAATGTGTCTCTTTGCTGTTAAACATTGTGAAATGTTGTGTATTGAAGGAAAATCAGTGTGCTGATATGTTGCCAATACCAACATACTCTTGAGTTGACAATACTTACATCTATTTAATAAAGGCAAAATGACGAATGCTGCATTTTCTATTTTTAAGCAAACATCAAATTCAATATCTTGCTTCTGTTTGTATCTCCTCTTTTTATAGCTCCACTTAATGCACTCTGTCTTTATTGTCAAAATGGAAAGTTATTGTACATTTATCTGTTGTCTATTCTTTGTCCATAATCAACTGTATAAGTTAGCTCTTTTTTCTACCCATATCGGCTAATATTTGTATCTTAATTTATACAATTCATGGTGGTTAAACATTTAGCAAACATTTAGCAAACTGTTCTGCTGCAAAATAAATTATAATAATGATAATAATAATAATGAAGGAATCTAAATTAATTTCCCTGCATTTCCAGTGTTTCCCCAAGAACAGGAATGCTTTTGACAAAAACAAAAAATATAATTAAAAATATTAATGGGGTGTTAGTGAGATTTTTTTTTTATTTCACCTATTTGCACAAATTGGCCCCCTTCCAACCCCCACTACTGACATCAATGTGGGTCCTTAAATAGGTTCTCAATTAACCAAGGGGTCTAGAACAAAAAACGGATGAAAACAACTATTATGTAGACCTACAGGAACTTCATAATTCTGTCAATAGATGGCAGTAGAGACAATCATATTACTGAAATGTGGATTCCTGAGATCCAACACTGGAAATAACTAACAAATGACATAATCTGGAAATGTTAAATAAAAGGACAACACCATTGTTTGTTAACTTTGAAAACCCAGAAGCCTGTAGAAATTGAATTTTTGTGTTAAAACACTAAGTAAAATCTTGCACCAGATAAGATTTCTTGCTCTAACAAATAAATTAGTACAGACACCAATATGTTTCCATCACATCCTTTTGTGAATGGAGAGAAAGGGAGAGTCATTAAGGATATGTGTATGGACAAAAAGTTTGCATCATTCAACTAATTGAAAGATTAATGCAATTTGTCCCATTCACATTAATTTCATTATCTAAAGGTCAGACGCTACTTTGAGTCAAAGAATGAAAACTCTGACACTCTTCCCAAGGAAAATGGCATTTACAATATTCTAGTACAAGGGTCACCAAGGCGGTGCTTACGGGTTATAAGGGTCCCTCTAAGGGTCCTCAGAGCCTTCTGAAAACAAAATAACTAAGTGGATTCATCATATAGAACATTTAATCATTTATGTAGATTAAAAATGGCAATATGTAGAAGGAAATTGGAAATTAAAGGAGAATTCATTATATGTCTAATTCATATGTATGAAGCTTTAGTGAACTCAGTACGCATGAAGTAGCTCTCAGTCTTAAAAAGGTTTGTGACCACTGTTGTAAGAAGTCCCCCTCAAACCAGGCATCTTATTGAATAAATTATATATGTCTATTTTGTGACAGCATCACCGCAGACACTGTAAAAACGAGGGAGGTTTAGGGGAATGAGATAGGGCTGACTATTGCTGACTCTATGTGAAGGAGGAGCCTACCAAAGTCTGTTCCTGTTTAATGAACAGTTGCTATTAACTAACTATATTTAACATCATTCACCAGCTACACCACTCTAAGGTCAGATTTCGCAAGACCTCTGTCTTTTCAATAAGTGTTAGGTGTAATCTGTCAGAAGAAATGCTCTCTCACGCTTTGCGGTCCACCAGACGGTCTATTTTGCATCTGCTGGAAGGTATTGGATTTGTACTCCAAGGTATAAGGGACCCTCCAACAACCTTAACCTGGACTTGTCATAAAAAAGGACAGATTGAACCAGTATTCAAGGCAAGTCGGACAATGGAAAGTTAAAAAGTTTAATAACAGAAAAATAATAAAACAGAACAGAAATGCAGACTGCTGAGGATAATCAGACCGAAGCAGCTGCAGGAGGTTGGCGGCGGACTGCCCAATCACTGACACTCTCAAGGGAGAAACACAGGTAAGTGACCATGATCATCTGACAAGAGATGATTATCCAAGTCAGTCATGTACCTGGATAATAGTTCAGTCCATCCTCTACGAAAAATGCAAGATCCAGCTCATGGACTACTACTACCAAACAAGATGCGTCTCAGAGCCGTCCAGAGTGTCCCCGATGCAGGAACCCCAGTGAGCAGGCAGGAGACAGATCCAGATCAGAGAAACAGTTCAGAACCAGACAGTTCCGAGATCCAGGAGTCCGTAGCCCGACAAGGGCTCCTCCCGCATGCCAGGCTAAAACGCTCAGGACTCAGCAGAGAAGAGCCGGGACATGAATAGGAGAGATGAGTCAATCACCAAACCCTCCCAGTCCACTGGCTTCCAAGACTCAGGACATGAACCAGGAACTTAACTCTCATGAAACAATAAATAACAGACACAAAAAAATAACATGAATAAACAAAGACTAGACAGATAATATATATAATATAGCAGAGGAAGCAGGTGAATAATATCAATGATAATAAGAAGAGCGGGGAGGCAACGGCAGATGAATGAAATGAGTAATCAGAGAAGCTACCGTGGCTGCAATCATGACAGAATTTATAATTCTTGGATGCCCTCACACCACGGGGACAGTACCTGCTAAAATGTGGCAACCTCTGGAATTGAGGTTTATTATTACGAAGAGAATTTTGGGATACTGGAGGTCTTCTGCTTCTCCTTTCAAACTATAGGTCACTGATATGATGTCCATGATACAAATGGAAAGACTTTGCAGGAGCTCTATGGATGACTTTCAATGCTGCTGGACTACCATCTTGGAACACTTTTTAAAGGCAAAACTAAACTAAACACATGAATGGCACAGACTCTAACCTTTGCTACCTTTTAGGGTGTGAATTAACCCATATAGATATGAATGTATGTATATACATAAAGAGCATGAATTGTGAATAGTGATGTTATATTTATTTTGATTTATTGTTGTTTGTTGCTTGATGTTGCTTGTTTGTTTTATTGTATTAAAATTTTGAAAACTTAAAATAAAACAACAAAAAAGCACAATGCTGAAATACATAATGGTTTAGTTAAGGCAGAGTTAGTAAGAAACTCCATTACACTACTGTATGCCACTTTAATTAAATTTTTGCCATTGTCTCATGATCAGTAAGTTAGAGGGGTTTTTGCCTTTTGCTCTGTTGCTGCACTTGACAAAATGCAGAGTCACAACCTGGGAATAAGATAACATTAAATTAAATTAATTGAATGATTGTCACCCAGAGAGATAAGAAGTTCACACAGTCTCCTTCATGCTGTGAACGGGAGACCTGCTCTGAGTGTTTATCTGAATTGCTAAACACTCAGAGCAGGGACCTGAGGATGGGGGGCCTGTGGGCCCTGGCCCTTCCGCGGCCCTCGTTCATTCCTGTCCCTGTCCCTCCTCTGTGGCGGTGGTGGTCGGGGGCCCCTGGGGGGCTACTGTTGGCCCTTTTGCGGCGGTGCTGGGTGCGTGGCTCTGGGGGCGGTCGTGCCTGGCCCCTTCTGGTCTGGGGGGATCCCGGGAGGCAGGGGTACTTAATGCCGTCAACAGCTCAAACTCCAGAGGGGAATTCATACACCCCGCTGGTCTTCTTTCTCGATTCCTCTCCCCCCCGCTCTTTTTCACACACACACATAGGGCCTTGGGGAGGGGACTTCGGGCTGGTATTGAGAGGGGGGCATCAACGTACCCTAGCTCGCCGCATGCCGAGACAACCTGCTCCCCAGTTTTAACTGCATTTAGACACTGGAAACATGATACAACAACAGCTCGCAATCACCTCTCGAAGGCGGGCCGCGGAGTGTGTGGGGGGGGGGCCGGGTAGGTGGCCATGTTGTCTGCGCGACCCCACTCCTGACATGGCTTAGCACTGCCTCTCAGTTTGGCGTGGGTAGGATTGGTGTTTGATGGAGTGGGTGGCGATGATTGGCGGAGGGCGGGCTGCGCAGGAGGGGAGGGTTGTGTGGGGGATGGGGGGTGGGTCTGGCTGGTGCGTGCGTGCAGGTGGGGGGGAGGAGCATCTGTGTGGGTGTGGGGTTGGGGTGGGTCAGGTTGTGTGTGTGGGGTCGGTGCGTTTGGGAGTCAGAGTGTGTGTGGGGTGGAGGGAGGGGCGTGTGTGGGGGGGACCGGCAGTGGTGCGGGCGCCCTGGTGTCGGGTGTGTGTGGGGCCGGGGCATTGGGGTGGGTGCTGGCCCGGGTCGGGGGGGTGCCGTCTGGGAGGTCCGGTCCCCCTGGGTGCAGTCCGGGCCGTCCGGGTCGGGGGGGGGGTTTCCCCCGGGCACTGGGGATCTGGGCTGCCGGCTGCACCCACCTCGGGCGGGCGGCGCCCGGGGCGGTCGGCGGTTGTCTGTCTTGGCCCACTGGGGCCTGGGCCCCGAGACCACGAGGGGTTCCGGCTGGGGCCACCCTCTACCGCCCTCTGGGGGGATGCTTGTCCCTTTGGGGGGGGGGGCGACTGGGGTCCGGGCCTCTGTGTGGCTGCGGGGATCCTGGTTCTCAGGCGGTGCGGGCTTCCTCCTCCTCCTCGCAGAGACGAGGTCGCATCTGCACAATGACATCACCATTAAGCTCTGGCGGCATAAGAATCAGATCAGGGTGTTAATCTTCTACTAGCAACCAATCCATGTTTGTGTGTGTTGGGGCGGGTGGGTTAGAGAGACAGATAGAAAGCTATGAGTACATATTATGAACTTTGTTGTCACTGTGATGTCATGGCTCATGTTTCTTCCATCCGGCTGAGTTACACTATTGGCTTTTTGCTATGCATCCAACTAGGTGTCAGCTGAAATTTTACTCAGTGGTTTGTCTTCAGATCTTAGCTTCTAGCAGAAATTAATTGTGCTGCTTCCTCCTCACTCTTGTTTGTTCCATGTGTCACCATAGACGTTATATATGTAGATGCCTCATTGGACGCTGTCGTGGCTAGAGGGTGGACATTGGGTCAGACCACAGTTCAGACCGCGGCTGTCAGAATGAATAGGAGCTGCCTTAGACCCATTTTAATCACAAGACGAGTCAAAAAAAATACTATTTATTAATTATTTACAATAATCTCTTACATGTCACAATCCGTTAAACAGGGATTTCAAAGTCAAATACACAGAGGGCCAAAAAAACAAATTTGCTACAAGCCGAGGGCCAGACTGGTTAAATATTTATTAAAACATATTGAAATGAACATAGCCTATTGACCCAAGACCTAATATATTGTTGTTGTTTTTTCAAACAAAATATTAATATCAGTATTTTTAATAAACTTTTAATTTACTAATAAATGTATTAAGATAAATACACAAATGAAAGTTCATGCATTGTAAACTGAAAATGTACTACTGTGCTGCTCTATGTTCACTGCTTTCAAATAGTACATAGAGCTTTCAAATAGTACAATAAGAAAAAAAAATATATAATCAGTTGTATTCTCTCTCATGGCTCTTATCTGCGATTTTCCCGAGTCCATTTAACTGAAAAAATATTAATAAATAGAATAAAATACAAAAATCTATGGCACACAGAGAAAACAATACTTCCTTCAAAGAAAAATCCCATCTTGTGCAAAGAAATGTAAAAATGTTGTGATGAATCATGACAGCAGACCCAGGATTCAGGCAGAGGTGCTTTAAAAAAGGAATGTATTAAACAAAAAAACAGAGCAATACCAAAAAGGACCAAAGAATTGAAAAGGCGACAGGCTTCAGCAGGGGCTGATTGAAGCCAAAATAAATGGAGCCTGGCTAGAAGACTCCTTTTATTTTGGCTCCATCAGCTTCTGCTGACACCTGCGTGCAACAGTTGGGGAGAGCAGTTAGTGCACTTTGCCTCCTTACACAACCGACTTCAGACAAGCTTGGATTGTTAAAGGCGGTAAAACAAATACCAAAACAATCCTAACATACAAAGAACAACAACAAAAAATGTAAATAAAAGAAAAACACAATCATGTTTCCCCCTGGGAATCCATCCATGGCCCCATGGATGATATTTAATTACCATTAGAACCGGACCACAGGCCAAGGCTGCTTGTGCGCGGTACTGTGACTTTGTGGGGTACCATTGCATTGTGGGGAATGTAGTGTTGGTGCGGTTGTGTTGCACGCACCAACACTACATTCCACACTACTGGGTGGGAAATGCTGGGCCGCTAACTTGACCGGACCAGGCATTCGAGCCGTCAGCTTCGGGGCTGGTCCGGGAACCCCTGCGGACGGGGCAGTAGCAACCAAACCCGACCCGGTGACGGTATGTTTCCCCCCCCACCTGCCTTACCATGCTTCCCCGGCCTGCTTGGTAAGTCAAGTCCTCCACGGTTCCCACACCAGCCCCGGGGCTGACGGCTCGGTGCTGCTGCACTGTAGTTGACCAAAATCTCGGACGATTTTGAAATTCCCCGCAGACATCTTTTTAGGTATGAAAAGTAGGACGTGTCAGGGAAAAAGAGGATGTCTGGTCCCCCTACCATATGAAAAATGGGATGTTTCAGTGAGGGAGTGCTAGTTGCTATAAAGATCCTTTGCTCAGCAGCTTTGCTCGTTGTTAACCAACCAAACAGAGCGCAGCTCATCTAAATATTCATGAGCATACCATAAAAGAAAGAAAACTTGTCATTTCATTATAGGGCTTTTAATCAGGCTGCATTAGGGCTCATAGAACAGCAAAAATGCCATTTCTAGCCCAACAAATGTTACACACCCCTTTCAGAGACCTTATGGACCAGCACCAAATACCCTATATTATCATTCTATGACCCCTTAAATATTAATATGATAAACACAAAATGCTATATTATTGTATTATAACATTATTTAATGCATCCATCCATGCATTTCCCATCACGCTTATCCCAAGCGGGGTTGTGAGGGATGCTTGTACCGATTTCCAGCTGTCTACGGGCGAGAGGTGGGATGCACCCTGGACAGGTCACCAGTCCATTGCGGGGCAGCACAGAGACAAACAGGCAAAACAAACATTCACCCACACGCTCACACCTAACCCCCAGATTCCACATACTCCGTCAGCGCTCCGCTCCGCCCCGCTGACGTACGTCGTGCGGAGCGCTTGTCTTTCATGGAAATCAATGAGAGCTGTTCCACATCCACCGCTACTCCTCCGCACGTCTCCGTCCACGTACATCTTCTCCGTCCGTCACCGACAAATTACGGAGCCGAGCTATTTTTTGCTCCACTCCGGTCCGGCCAGGTCAAGATCCGCAATTGCAATCGCACCAAACAGGAAAAAGAACATTGACAAATTCCGGTTCGTCAAATTAAAATATAGCAGCAACAGATTGGTGACTAGAAATTATAGCACAATTCTTATAAATATCTAAAAAAAAAAAAAAAAAAAACTAACACCGTTTATTTAAATGATTGGATCCAAACTATTGGTTATTCACCAACGAGGAAGCAGATTTCTCATCTCCATCAAAATATTTATTTTATACCGAGGGACTTAAAGTTTAATCAAATCCATTCAAAAGAACCTTCTTATTACAGGAATGAAAAGATGCTGAGTTGTAGAGAACAAGTTCATTTAAAAAAAAAGCAGTTTTGAATTATCCTTATCTCTGTTACAAAAATCTACAAATATATATATATATATATATATATATATATATATATATATATATATATATATATATATATATATATATATATATTTGGGCAGAAACTGAACATATGCTGGATGATGGTGGGATTTTTTTAATATGTCAAATTAAATTAAGCGCTCACAGGGTTCATACATGAATGAGTGACTCAAATTTAATGCTATTTGAAATGATTTTAATGCCATCAACAAGAACCATGTACACAAGTTATTAGTGTACATGAAATATGAAGGAGCTGTAAGCAGAGTTCCATGACTCCTGTATGTATGTGAACACACACACACACATATACGTATATATATATCCTCTAGCTTTTTCTCCGCCTCGAGCTTCCTTTCCGAACATACGGCTTTATAAACAGTTCCACGCAAATTAATAGCGATATAATATATCTGACGAAATTGTTTTTAGAAGCATTTTTATTAAAGAATCATAAATGCAACGATAAACATATTTAATTAATTTTAGTGCCAATTAAGGCCTTGATTAAAAAAAGAATTATGAATTGTAATTATTTTTAATGATCCGCGGAAACCCTGGTTCATCTGGCGCATGCCCTCTACGATCTCCAAGGAACTCAGAGCGGAGGGGACGGAGCAACAGCGGCGGCTGTAGGCTTTGCTTTGTGCAGGCGGTCTGGAGCGCAGCGGGGCGGAGCGGAGCGCTGACGGAGTATGTGGGATTTCGGGGTAAGGAGAATTTAGAGCAGCCAATTGACCTAACAATCTTGTTTTTGTACTCTGGGAGGAAGCCGGACTACAACGGAGAAATCCCACGCATGCACAGGGAGAACATGCAAATTCCACTATAATGCAAACTCCAGTATAATGCAAACATTCCTTATTTTTTATTGTGTATTATTATCATTCAGTATTTTTAAGGCTTGCTCTCTGTTAATGAGTATTATGATCCATAGAGGAAACTTAGTTTTACTGTGATTTAAAAAAAAGTTTGTTATTTTGTATTTTAATTAAATGCAATGTTTTGTTCAAACACTTTTTTTTTTATTTATGCAAATGTGAACATTTGTTCTTAAATTAGTTAATTTGTGACATATATTTGTGTGTATATTAAATGTATATATAATACATATATGTATTACGTATATATATATAACATGCTCTGAGTATGTTCGTTGATGATGTCAAACAAGCAGTTTAATGGAGAAAATTTAAGAAGCATTAAATTGTCTCAGAAAAGTCATAAAAATGTTTTTAGAGATGTAGCATTCTTTATTTATTTATGGGTAAAAATAAGACCTTTAGTACCATAATTGCATTAGTTATGGTGACCTGGATGAATATCTGCATGCACATGTGCAAATGAGCTGATGGTACGGCTCGTGCTTCCAGTACGGATTGTGTAGTGACACCATCAAGACTTTAAAATTAGAAATAATTGTTTGAGTGACCGATAGGAACGATAAAAAGTTGGCCACTCAGGAGTAAAAAAAACAAAAAAAAAAACACTTTCCAGTCCAGGGCAGACACAGGTGTATCTACGGGTGGGTCCCCATTATGTCCGGTGAAAGTGTGGTTGTGAAAAACATACCGTTTCTTGATGCATGAGGTGTTTAGGGAAGTAGCAATATCCTCCATCAAAAGTAACAGTTTGTGGGAGCAGATCAAAGAATGGTCTTAACACATTTAGAGCTTGGTTAAACTGATGAGTTTCCTGGAGCCTAGGTTACGTGTTGATGCTCACCATGGTGGGGGTAAAATCAGTATCCTGGAACTGAGGTCAAAGAAAGGTCTTAACAGAATGTAAAGCTTTATTAGTGCAGTAAAATCATTTAGATTGCTTATACAAGGCAAACATGTCTTTTATAACCTTGGAAAGATAGTGTTCTATCTTTCCACCAAACACAAAGTACACGTACAAAGAGGTCAGGATGAAAGGTGTGTTGATTGGTGACAGTAAACTCATTTAGGAAATGTTATACAAAAGAGCACA